GTCCATCTCTGTAGACCATGGCATGAGTATAAGATTGATAATAAGCATGATATGACAGTAGATCCTTCACGATGAGCTTTAGTGACCTTCGAACAAGCCTGATTCCAGCCCTCTGCTGAAAGGCATTCAGGAATATCCCCGAGTTCCCACACATTTGACTTACAAGATTAACACATGCAAATTTTATTCAGCTCAGAGTAAACCAACTGAAATTAATGGACCAGAGTTCATTGTTTTAAATGGGCTTACTTTGAGTAGGACTAAAATTTGATACAAGCCTTTGAGCTGGAATCATTGTGATTTTCTATGTGCAGAGTTACATTTGAAGAGAATTTGGAAACACTAATTGGTCCACAACACAACTATCAGAATACATCTTGGCAATATTCAACTGAACAGTTGTGCAAGCACTTTTGGCTACACAACAAAAATGCCCTCCCTCGCCTCTTGTGAGCCTCTATAAACCTGCTCCAAAGGGTGGGAGGAAACCTATAGCAGATTTAGGGAGTGCACAAGAGAGGGGAAATGAAGTTCTGTTCTACAGCCAAAAGTGCTTGTGGAAGAGTATAGTTGGAAAGAGCCCAGAATGCTTCAAGAGCTGACCTTACCTGTGTGCCTATTCCCATTTGCTTTGCTTCTGCTCCACGTTTCACCCATGAGAGGCAGGGTCCTTTCCTCTACGGGTGCCAGGAGACTGGCACATGCAGCCAAAGGATGTTTGCCCAGCCACTGATGGCAAGCAGCCCAGCCTTTTCTTATTAAGCAGGCTTTTAAATGTATTGCTTGTGAATCTTGATCTTTTAAACGATCATTTTAAATTTTACAATGTGACGAAGTAAATCATGAATAATACTGCATTTTATAATGGGTTTTTTGGTGTTCTAAATGTATTTTTTGGGCAACTTGAGTACTGTTGTTACTGTTATTAGAAAGGTAGGATAGAAATGTTTGAAAATAAATAAAATAATCTACATACAATTAAGTTACCAAATGTTATCTAAAAATGCACTGTTGGTAGCCTTGAAGGTGAAGATAATTGCCTTTGAACTGCTGGAAAAATCTGAGCTTCCCTGCTGCCATAGACCTTTGCTCAGAGATCCACCAGACAGCACAATCAAACTGACATTGGGCCCCAGGCTTATTTCCTTTGCCCAGTTCTCCTAAAGAGCTACTTTATGTGGCTGACGTCAACTACATCATATTTTTAAAGGAGAGATGTGAAATTAACATGCACAAAGTATTTCTGCAGAAAATCCAGTTTAGGGTACATCTTCATTTCTTCTGGAAGGCCATCTCATATTCTCTGCTTGATTATCTATCAGGCTTGTTGCAAAATGGTTCCGCTTTCTTCAGAGAGTGCTTTTAGCTGTATTTGCAAGTATATTTGCTCAGTGAAAAATTAAAAGTTTCTTGTCTAGAGTAGTAATCCATGTGAGACTTATTGGCTCTGGAAGCCAATAAGCTTCTTGATCCCACAGGATTTCTGCACCAACACAGACATGTACCAGAGTCCTATCAGCAGAATAAGAGCCCTTGTTTCCTTTGCACCTGCACACACCACAATCCAAACTCCAGTGATTTTCCCGCTCTGCTGCAGCAGTCCTGGCAACTTCCTGTGATATATAATCACAAGAGGAACATTAAGGCTGTGTACCAGGTATTCTGTATGGATACAACATTGTGACCCAGCTTTATGTAAGAGACAGGGATTTAGATAGCAAATGGGATGAGAACTACATATTATTGGCATCAGTTTAAATGTGATATATCCACTTTTCAACAGAAAATGTTGTATGCAGCTATTACAGAAATCTCAGGGTCAGAGAGTGAAACTTAGCCCAGTGAGCTGCCAACACAGACTATGGGATTTGCATGACCAAAACAGGCAGGGCTTTTTTCCCCAGGGGGAACTGACTCAGTTCCAGCACCTCTCAGATGGGTTCTGGAACCCCTCAGTTGAGTTCTGGCACTACTCAGGCGGGTGCCACTGCCATTCTAAGAGAAGGAGGGAGGCGTTCATGGTGAGTTCTGACACCTATTTTTGTAGAAAAATTGCAATGAATCAAGATAAGGATATGCAACATCAGCCCATGCAATTGGCAGGCCAAATGAAGCCTCAAGATTGGGCAAGCCTCATACAAAATGCTGTAAGACTGGCCTATTTCATGTTTGAAAACTAAGGTTAAGAACTTGAAGGAGAAAGTCCCTTTACAGGGTCCTCCAGCATATAAGTCTATTTAATTTTCCCAGTAATGTCTGGGATTTTAAATGCAGTATTTACGTCCCAGGGGAAATTCTGAAAGGCAGAGTTTTGTCCTGGATCTTAGGCAAGTCAATTGAAAAATCATGGTTTTTCGCATTTTTTTTTTAAAAAAGCTCAGTTTTGGTGGTCTCCTCAAAAGAAGATCCATTTTGTGGTCTACCCCAAAAAAAACTCAACAAATTTTGGGGTGTCCTGGTTTTTACTTTTTGAAATATGGCAATCCTAACAGAATGGGCACCTTTGTGGAGACACAGTGCAGCACCATAGTGGCTGTTTGTCCTGCCTCTGTTTCTGTATTCTGGGAGCATGAATGATGGGAAGGAAACAGAAAGCCTCTGAAGGGCACTGCAGTGTGAGGGAACAGAAGAGCCACAGGCATTTGCATGACATGAGTATGTGTTGGTACCAGGGAAAGTACTCCAGTGACTCAAAAGTGAGGAGTTGAGGGTGGTCCACATCTTCTGAAGCGCAACACAGGAGTTTTACTTGGTGTTACAGCGCCTCTCTTAACCTTCACAAAACGGGAAGAAGGATGAGGTGAAAATGTACAGGGGAAGAATCCGATACCTTAAGGCATAATACCACACCCACGCAGACTGTGATGTTGTCTATCTCACAGAATCAAATTATGCTATAACCAATACTATGATGTTGTTGTTCATCATACTGTACACATGCCCTCCAACATTTCTCTGATGAAAAAAGGATGTCCTATTCCTAATAATAATAATAATAATAATAATAATAATAATTTTACTATTTATACCCCGCCCTTCTGACTGGGTTGCCCCAGCCACTCTGGGTGGCTTCCGACATATATAAAAACACAAGAAAACATTAAACATTAAAAAAAACTTCCCTATACAGGGCTGCCTTCAGTTGGCTTGGAGGTCGGATAACTCCATACCTTCGAACATGTGGCTGATGAAAATAGGGACATCCTACCATACCCTCCGGCGTTTCCGTGTGCTGCGCTGGCTCGCCAGATGCAGCTAGTCACGCTGGCCACGTGACCTGGAAGTGTCTACGGACAGCGCTGGCTCCCGGCCTCTAGAGTGAGATGAGCGCACAACCCTAGAGTCTGGCAAGACTGGCCCGTATGGGCAGGGGTACCTTTACCTTTTACCATACCCTCCAATATTTATTCAATGAAAATTGGGATGTCCTCAGGAAAAGTGGTACATTCTGGGATCTAAACAGAAACTGTAATCTGGGACTGTCCCTGGAAAATAGGAACACTTGGAAGGTCGGCTGTACAAACTACAAACTTTAAGAAATATAAGATGAATTAACGTTTGCATTACTTTCCCCCCCTTCAATGCAGACATTCAGCTGCCTGCAAAGCTCTAAATGGTTTATTTGGGGAACATTGCTCCTTTTTAATAATGCACACTCCTAACACACTAATGCCTTTTGTATCATTACTAATTAACGCAGGTAATTTCAGTACTTTAAATCAGTAAAAAGCTACATCTAATCTGTAAAGATATTAGGGTAGTGCAAATAATGCTAACAACAACAGCAACAAAATCCTTTTCACGTAGAGAAAATTCCCTAGTATGTATATTAGCAAGCAAAAGCATCTATTTCAGCTGCTTATTTTACTCATTCTTTAAAAAAAAACTTCCACAGCTTTAAATGAATTAATTGCAGTTAAACTAGATAATTCTTTCTTGTTTTTACCCCCTCTCCCCACCCCAAAAAACCTATAAATATGACATAAGCAGATTAATACTGAACACAATGGGTTGTTGGGAGGCAGAGGTGGCATTTTTGTTTTTTAAAAAACCCTCCTACAATTGAAGCATCTTACTTGTTTAAATCCTTATACACATTTACAAATTCATCATCTTTCAAGGCTGAAAGATGCAGATAAGCAAAGCTCTGTCATTTTACATCTTTCTACATCTGCATTCTGCACTTGCCTTTTAAAAAGGCATCTCTCCACATCCTAGCTAACGAAATGTTTTGTTTTTAAAAGTGAAAAGAATTAATGTGGGAAATGAAACAAGCTAGAATGAGAAGAGACAATCCCTAACTTTTCCTGAGCAGTGGATTATAGAATCAGTGCATTTTTGTTCCATTTATGTGCAAGTTTACTAGGCGTCTTGGACTGGTTTGAAACCTCCCAATGACGTCAATGGGCCAGAGAAATTAGAGCTAAGCTAGACAGCTGCACTGCACTGAATCTACTGAGACTTTATTCTTTTCTCTCATGGTGACACCCGAGACAGATATTATCAATCAGGCGCTCCTGGCTCAACACCAAAGCAGCAGTGTTTCAGCATTCTGAACCTTGCAATTGCAGCAATTAGAATAGCACAGAGCATCTTAGAAATATTATTGCCCAGCATGATTATTAATAATCCAAATAAAACATAAGGTTTCATATATAACTGCACAGCCATTAAGTATGAAATCTGCTTACTGATCTGTAACATCCTTTAAGGGGGGAAATCCCAGTAGTGAAAACTGGGAAATCACATTAAAAGGTTTTACTTTACTTCCCTTAAAAGTTTTCTTTCTTTTCTGCAGTGAGGAATTATAAAACCAGCACAGCAGATGAAGCAGTAACACCTCTTTCATAATCTAAAGTAACCTGATTTCTCTCTCTCTCTCTCTCTCTCTGGTTCAGTAATACATAGCAATTATTCTAGTCTCCCTTGACTATTAAATATAACCAATAGACCTATATATAGAGACAAATATTTTCCCCTCCAGAACGTTTCGGTTATTTCTTTATGGCCTACTCTAACTTATATTGATTTTACAATATTCTCAGCTTTAGTACAGATTTCTTTCCAACAAATGCTGCACTGCCTAAAAAGAGTCAGCAATGGAGGCGTGGAGACCATCGCTGCCTTGGTGAGGAAAACCTCATGTTTCAGTGAAGAAATTGACACCTGTCTATAGCCATTGTCAGGGTAGAAGGAATTTAACCCCCAAGGTACCCACACAGTGGTAGGCCACCTCCAAAGAGAAATGGAATTATTCCTTTGGGTTGTCCCTCTTTGGAGTGCTGTGAGAGTGCGCCAAGCTTCCCACCCCCTGCCTCGGATTGCCCCTGGTCAGGGGGGTAGGGGGGTTCCCTCTGGAGGGGAGTGAGCTCCCTTGTGAGCCTCAGGGCTGTCTTAAGCACATGCGGTGCCGGGGTGCAAAGATCCCCCCCGGCTCCCCACCCCCCAGGTTGCCCAGCCCCAAGTGCACAGGAGAGCAGAGCCGGCCGCCCACCTCAGCATCTCACCGGCTTGGTTGCCCCCAGACTTGTGGCGCAGAGCCACCCACAGCAGAAGAGCCCGCCGTGGCGCTCCAACCGATGGGTGGGTTCTTCCTCAGACTCAACTTTCGGGCCCCGGACTCTTGGCTTGGCACCCCTGAGAGCCTGGCGCCCGGGTGCCTTGCATCCCTAGCACCTATGGGTAAGACAGCCCTACAGTGAGAGGGCAGCCATAAATGGTTCGCTGGTAGCGGAGCAGGTTATCTCATTCACCGGAACTGTAGTAAGTGTAAGCCATGTTTTGCGCTTTTCTGTTCTTGTTCTGATGCTACGGTTAAATACATGCATACACATTTTGAGTGTATAACTCTTCCCGGACTGTGGTTTGTTTATTAATGTGGCAACCTGAATGCTCTTCTTGTTTTCTTCTTATTGGGTTGAGTAGGCTGGCCAAGTACGTTTCTGAAAGGCATAAAAGGCTAGAACTGGGTAGGGCGCTTCCATTCAGACCAGAATGGACACAGGCAGGCATGGTAGTGAAGACTAGGCATGCCATTATGGGGAAAGAATAACTGGTCATTTCTGCACCATTCCTTTTCTGGTCCTCTCTCCAGGGAGCCTAGACGGCACGTTGGCAATCCCTTGGCAGAGGTGTCGATACTATGTGGAATGGGCCCTCACAAAAGAGAACACATGCATGCAATTTGCATATGCTTTGTATCATTTGTAAAATTTGTGTTCCCTTTTGCAGGTTGAGTGGAGGACGTAAAAATAAACCCCGTATTAAAAAGCATGACAGACAGAACAGGAACAGATGAAATTTTCCCCATAATTGTATTTTCATACTAGAAAAGGCTTACCCTATTGAATTTTTGCCTTTGACACAGCTGTTAAAGGCACAAAAAACTTGGCTGTCCCCCATGCCAACTCTAAACCAAAGCCTAGGCTGTATCAACTTACTGGGAGTAAGTCCCATTAAAAGCAAAGAGACTTAATTCTGAGTAGACATTTATACCGTTGTACCTTAGTTAACTATACAGTGGTACCTCGGGTTACATACGCTTCAGGTTACAGACTCCGCTAACCTAGTAATATTACCTCGGGTAATTGCTTCAGGATGAGAACAGAAATTGTGCTCCGGGGGTTCGGCGGCAGCAGGAGGCCCCATTAGCTAAAGTGGTGCTTCAGGTTAAGAACAGTCTCAGGTTAAGAATGGACCTCCAGAATGAATTAAGTACTTAACCCGAGGTACCACTGTACAGTGAATTATTAATGGATGCTTGGTATTTAGCTCCTGCACAGCGAAAGACATGCCTAAGTCTATTTGCAAAGATTTCACACTTGCCAATTGAGGGAACGGGATTCCCTCTCTGCACTTAATGTGTTGCAGAAAATACCACCTAGGTACCTGATTTCAGCCAAACCTACCACATGAAAGATGAAAATAGGGAAGGGAAACTATAGAGTTTTCAAGAACTAGAAAATGAGACAGAAGCAGGAAAATTGCATTAAAAAGGGAGGGATAAACAGTAACTCATTAGGATTACATTAGGCTTTAAATTTCAAGGCAAAGTGGCATGGAAGAGTATGTTTAAACCTCTTCCCTGTTGGCCAGTTCATACCATAATTCTTCCCAACCAGGCTTTTTGCATGGAGGGAAAAATATGGCCATCTGTATCTCTTTTCAGTTGAAAGAAAAATTGATCAGCAGGCAAAGTGTTAAGTTGCATTTTTTTCCTCCTCTCCCCTCCCAAGTTTGTTTGCAGAAATTGCCAGCTTCAAAGTGCGGTGACAAAAAGAAAAAAGCTAAGATAAAAGGTACATATAGGTAAGTGTAACATGTTGTTTGTCCCTGAACCTCACCCCAGGTTCATTTTCTACTCCAAAGCCTTTCAACTGCAGATTGGATTTGGTACTAGGGGAAAATATATGCTCTCTCATGCGCATCTTACAATTGTGGCCGCATGTGATGAGTTACAAGGAAGATAATTTGTGAGGAGTAACTATGATGAGAATGCTCACCCACCTTCCTAATTCTACTACTTTCCTAAACTAAGGAAATGAGTGTGGAGACGGCTGATAAAGAGTCAAGTTAATCAGTTTTGGGTCAGCCACTCTTCATTTAATCTGCATTGTGCTTTGTGTGCCAGTTGCAGAAAGGCAGGACAGAAAGGAGAGTTTTGCAGACAGAGCATTATGCATGCCAGGGAACTGTGCTCAGTTTTGATAATCACCAGAGCTAGAAATACAGAAGTACGGCCCTCAGGAAGTGGAACTATTGAACGAAGCTTCCAACAGGGCTATGGGCAGACATGGCATTTGCCAGTGGCTCAGTGCCAGATTTACATATAAGCTAAACAAGCTATAGCTTTGGGCCCCACTCTCTTGGAGGCCCCCCCAAAAAATTAAAGGAAAAAAACCTGGATGTACATTTCCAAAACATAAGATAAAAAAAAAATGAAATAAAACCTACAGACAGCAACAGTGTTCTGTTCTGTGTAGGTGCCTATGATGTACCGTATTTTTCGCTCTATAGGACGCACTTTTTCCCCTCCAAAGATGAAGGGGAAATGTGTGTGCATCCTATGGAGTGAATGCAGGCTTTTGCTGAAGCCTGGAGAGAGAGAGGGGTCGGTGCGCACCGACCCCTCTTGCTCTCCAGGCTTCAGGCAGCTATCCGCAAGCCTTCAGAGCCCGGTGGGAGTTCCCACCGAGCTCAGAAGGCTTGCGGATAGCAGCAAGCTCCGGGAGCGAAGGCGAGGTTGTGTGCAACCTTGCCCCCGCTCCCGGACCCGTTCTGGGGGCTGGGGTCGGGGGAAGCTCGGGCTTCTTTATTCCCCCCCCCTAAAAACTAGGTGCGCCCTATGGTCCGGTGCGCCTTATGGAGCGAAAAATATGGTAAGTAATGGGCCGTGCCTGCTCCCTAAAATATCACTGGTTTGCTCATTTCTATATATAGGGTGCCTACATTCTGCATGGACTGGTTGCATGGCAACCTGTGCAAATGGCTTTAGATACCCATGAGGTCCATAAATTACCATATATCATATATTCAACACGAAAAACAGCAGCAATTTGTTGTTGACAAAGGACATATAAAGGGCCCCATTATAGCTTAGGGCCTCATCAAACCTAAATCCGGCCCTGAGGTGGCTTATAGTTTTACAAAATTCTAAAGGGCTGATAGCATAGGCAGAAGCAGCTGGAGTGCTGTTTAAGACATTGCCTTCAGTTGCCTCTTCCTAGTAATCAGAGGGTATAGTTGCTAACATCACAGATGCAGTTTTATAAATACTTTCAGGAATCTGGCACCTCGGACTCATGATCATGAAGACTTTAAACCACATCACATCAGGAACGCCCCGTGAAGTATGCTTTTAGATTCAAGCATGTGCACACATACTCAGATTTTCTTTATGGATTAGATTATAAATCCATATTTCATCTGCTGCTTGTGGGCTATGTTCTGTTAAGCTTGCAGCTGGAAGCTGATCCTACAGTTCACAGTGAGTAATTGCATATAAGCTATTGATGGCCATAGGGAAAGACTGCTGAAGGTTACTGTGCTAGCAAAGCTGTGATGATCTGATGTGTTTTCCAGTTCAGTCACAGTGAAATAGGCTTCACAATCATTACAGCACAAAGCCAGGCATCGCAAGTCCCATTCTTAACTCATTAAACCCAGCACTCAGTAGAAATCAATTGGAATTTCTGCTGAAGGAATACTGGGATACAAGAGGAAGAGACATGTAATCACTAGGATAGTGAAGTTTGCCAAATAACCTTTATTTTGTAAACAGCTTCCTGAATTGATTATATATAGAATACACACACATTCCCAATTATGTGAATATAAACATGCCTGTATTTATGTTCTAAATCTCGCACATTGGCAAACAAGGTCTATATTTAATATAGTCCCATATAAGACATTATTTAACTAGAAAATGTGACATCCATGAAGATACCATGAGATGGACCAGAAATTTAAAATGTATTACATAAAAAAGGAAAACTTACAAGATAGGGGGAGAAACTAATGTCTCAATGTCAGATTTTTTTTTAAAGCAGTGATGAGTGGGATAAAAATAGAAGCATGTTAATGAAATCTGCAGAATTAATCAAAATGGGAAGCAATAATTGTATATATAGGATAAACCTCATGACCCAACGCTTCGCGTACACTGCATTCCCAAAATGACTACTTTTAAAACAAACCAATATCCTTTATACTATATTTTACCATCTGCCATGGATGCTTCAGTTGAGATCCCTGCATTGCAGGGGGTTGAGCTAGATGACCCTGAGGGTCCCTTCCAACTTCACAATTCTATGATTCTATGAAGACAATAGAAAGGGTAATGTAACCAACATCTTATTAGGATGGTAAAAACGCACACAATCCCTATATTAAAAAAAGCTCTGTGAGCAGGAAGAAGCACTGAAGCACAATGCTTTATTACCACAAACACGCCCCCCCCCCCCATTGCTTCATCTCATGGAATTTTCTTAATCAAAACTACGGTTAAACAATGCATTCTTTGTCTTTATTTGACTGCAGTTTCTTGAGTATGTGAAAATATTTGTCTTTCCCATTTTCCATTGTGCTTATAGTCTCCTGCTATCTCTCTCCTAAATAAGGAAATTTGAGAGAGTAGGAGACCAATTATAGCTTCCTTTAATGCCGAAATTTAAGAATTAATAATGTGCTAGTTCCAGCACATTCGGAGATGGAGTATTATGCTTTAAAAAAATCTGATTTAACTCCAGCATCAATAGCTGAATTTTATTCATGACAAGTCAGAATGACTGCAATGTGGAAGTCTGCATTAGGGACCCTGAGATCTCCTGCTCCTGGTCTGTCACAAATTTCCTATTAAACCACACCTTCCATTGCCAAAACCCCCCACTTCACTGCCTAATATATACAATAAAGCTAATGTGACCATCCATTTTTGCCTGTAGTATCCTTTGGATTTGTAATGTTCATTAATGGGAAAGAGATTGGAGTTACTGAAATTCCTTTTACGCCTGCTAAAACATCCCATCCACTGAATATGCTAGAGACAGGCTTCTAGCACCACAGAGGCTCAGTCTTCACTGCAGACCTTACTCCTGTGGAATCAAAGACACAGGCAAAGCAATCTAACCATCCAGTGCGAACAGTGGCAGGTTGTTGGCACAACCTTCTATTTATTAGGTAAAGGGTAAAGGGACCCCTGACTATTAGGGTCCAGTCGTGGCCGACTCTGGGGTTATGGCGCTCATCTCGCTTTATTGGCCGAGGGAGCCGGCGTACAACTTCCGGGTCATGACTAAGCTGTTTCTGGTGAACCAGAGCAGCGCACGGAAACGCCGTTTACCTTCCCGCCGGAGCGGTACCTATTTATCTACTTGCACTTTGACGTGCTTTCAAACTGCTAGGTTGGCAAGAGCAGGGACCGAGAAACGGGAGCTCACCCCGTCACAGGGATTCGAACCGCCGACCTTCTGATGGTTCTGTGGTTTAACCCACAGTGCCACCCGCATCCCTTCTATTTATTACATCCACATATATTACTGTACACTCTGCAGCCACTCACCCCGAGATACAGGCAAATGGCTCTTTAATCCACACTCCCCCAGTGCGAAAAACATAGGCTTGATGGAGTTCTCCTTTATGACCCTGAACAGCTGTGCTCATACCCTCCTCCTTACCAGCCAAAACTAGAGAAAAATGCCGTATTTTTCGCTCTATAAGATGCAACAGACCACAAGACGCACCTTGTTTTTGGAGAAGGAAAACAAGAAAAAAAATATTCTGAATCTCAGAAGCCAGAACAGCAAGAGGGATTACTCAAAGCAGCAATCCCTCTTGCTGTTCTGGCTTCTGTGATAGCTGTGCAGCCTGCATTCGCTCCACAAGACGCACACACATTTCCCCTTACTTTTTAGAAGGGAAAAAGTGAGTCTTATAGAGCAAAAAATACGGTACCTAAGAGCACGAGAGAGGAATTATTAGAGAGGCTGTGTTGCATTTTACTGATGAGGAAGGGGCTATTTGCCTGTGAGGTAGTGGGTCATGCCAGTCCTACAGCCCCTTCAATCTGTGTTTGGATTTTTTAAAGTATTATTTCCAAAACACAACAACAGAAAGCAAAATAAACAGTTGCATTATGTATTGCTGATAAAGGGCAATTCGTTTAACATTATTTTTGGAAATGATCTGCATACTGCATTTGTCTTTTTTTTTTTTTAAATGATATTTATTGAAAATTTTAAAATTACAAAAGAGAATAAAAAAGAAAGAAAAAACAAAGAAAAGACAAACCACAGTCAAACAATACAAATTAATAAAAATCAAAATCAAAAAATAACACGACACAATTAAAAAACAAAAATATACCACAAACATTTAAAAACAAATCCAATATTCTCATATCTTTAACTGTCATTACCTTCTTTCTTTGACCTCCTCCTCCTCCCTTTTTTTGTATCCTGATTATTAATTGTCACAGCAAATCCTTTCCATATTTCATAATATTCTGTCATTACTTTACCTTAATCTATTTTAATCTTATCTTACTATGAAAACCTTAAAACTTAAAACTTCTTATTTTTACCAGTTTCTCATAACCATAATATTCTTACATAATTCTTTAAACATTTTTGCTAAAGCCAAATAATTTCGTTCCAACATTTTTCTAACATTCATCAATTTTATAAAACAATCATAATAAAAGAAATAACAATCCAATCTTCATCCAGCGTCTCTTCCTCCTGGACCCGGGTTTTGTCAGTCCTTTCTATCCCATCAATCTAGCGCATTAACCTGGTAACCTTATGTCCGAGGCCCTTAAGTCTCTTCCATGTCCCTTCCGCAGCTTTCACTATTGAGTGAAAGCACTCAAAGGAAAACTATATTTTCCTTTATCTCCTACTTCTTTCACTCTTGGGAACTCCAGTTTGCAATGCTTTTGACCCTTCTCGACAAATCAGCCCCTTTTCCATAGTCCCCACTAAGTTCCATGTGGTATTTAAGAACATGTTTCAAAAACCCTCCAAAATTGAGAGCCCCCACAACCCCAAACATCTCACGGCCCATTGCCAGACTCGAAAAGTCCAAACCTCCCTGCATAGGGGGGGTCTATTCAACCCCCCATTTCCAAACCAAACCAAACTTTATCTTTCCAAATCTGACTTTTTCCAAGTTCATTTGTCAAATCCAAGAATTCATGTTCCTGCTGGGCCGCAGCTCCCTCCATCCCTGGCGCCCAAGATTCAGCAACATCCTCTTCCCTCATCTGTTCTGTCAGGGCACACTCCTGATCTAATTCCTGGGTGGGCTCTATATAATATCCCACTGCCTGTCCAAAATTTCTAATCGCATCAGTCATAAAATCCGTCTTCTCATGTAGCTGTTCCAGTAGGGCACTTGTTTTACAGAAAGCACTCAACAGAGCTTCTGAATACATTGTCCTGCAAGGTCAGAAGTCTATTCCCACGATCGTAATCTGTAACAGCTGCGAGCTTCCCGATTCAAAATTGGTTACAGTTTCACAGGCTCCCTCTAGGGGAAAAACTTCTGCTTGTTCTTTTCTTTTAAAAACAAATCTAACAACAAAGTTTCCTTTTTCAGATATTTTGTCAATATTTGTTCCTTTAAAATGCGAAGGGGAACAATGGAATCACTATGTATCTCTTCCTTTAGCTATCTGTCAAAAACGTTTGTCTCTGGTCAATGAGCTTCAAAGAACGTCAGTCCTGACACCCCGCTCCAGGATCAAGACGGTGGAAAGTTACTTTACTTTACACTCACTTCTGCAGGTTTAAACAGTCCAGAAAAATCCCCCCTCTTCTCCTGCTTCCGAAGGGGGTTCCACAATTTTAAATGATGAAAGTTAATCCTTTAGAAGCGATTTTCAGAACTTTAGTTTGCTGTGTCTTTGCTTTAATCTATCTACAAAGAAACGGAAGGCTGACTTCCTGTTTAGACCTTCCCGTTTCAGTGCCAAATTAAATTAAACTTTTAAGTCCAGTTTTCCTTTCTGCTCACAAATCCTTATTTAGAGTCCAATTGTCCGAAACTTAAGTACTCACGGGTGGTTGTTTTAAAAGCCAAATTGTCCCAGGAAAAAGGCAGCGCTCTCCGGCAACAGCTGTGCGGCTTCGCCCCACAGAAGAAGCAGTTGACTCTCAGCACTGCGCCACTTCCCCCTCTTCGCTCCGGAGCCCGTTAGTGGGTTCCTTTGCGGGTTGGGGGGGCGCTAAAGGTGCCCGCCGAGTTCCATGGTCACAGGCTTCATCCGCCTGTGATTTTTGACTGGGTCCCCGCTTCGCCGTAGCAGAAAAGACCCGATTCCCGTGGAGCTGGTCCCTCCAGTTCAGAGGGAGTCCGCCATTGCCGATGGCACCACCCTGGAAGTCATACTGCATTTGCCTTTACTTAGCCTCTCAGTGCAGTTCAAAATATCGATCAGGATTAAAAAGGAGGGAAAGGAATTGCTGGACTAACATATTGAATTGG